CCCCCTTCACTCAACTGTGGATATTCCGTACGCTGTTATCTCTCGCTTCCCCATGTTAGGCTCTGCCACGGTGCCTTTCTTGTGGACACGACCCTTCCCATGCCCCCCCCCCCCCCACTTACTCGGAATCCACTTAAGATGTTCCCCCCTTTGACCCACTCTGGAGACCTCCCCACCTCCAGCCTGCAACCCACTCCAGCGACGCCCCTCCCCCTCCCTTCCGACCCACTCCAGCGACGTCCCCCTCCCTTCCCGACTCACGCTAGAGACGTCTTCCCTCTCGTCCGACCATCTTCAGGAAAGCCTCACCTCCTTGCCATCCCCTCCAGGGCCTCCCTCCAACGCCGCTCCCTCCGATCACGCCCCGGCGCCCATCCCCCGCCGACCCATTCCAGAGATGCCCCTCAGTCCAAGCCAACGCTTGCCTCCCCCTACAGCCCATTCCAGACACGTGGCCTCCCCTGGCTCACTCGAGAGACGCTCACCTCCAGCCGACTCTAACGACGTCCCGCCCCTTCCGACACCCTTCAAAGACGCCCCTTTGACCGTATCATAAATCGGTCCTCTCCCTCCCCTTCCCGTGCCAGGACGTACCCCCTCCCCTGCCCGCATCAAAGATACACCCTCGCCCCCTCCCCCTGCGCCCTCGAGCGTTTGCTCCGCACAGCTGAATCTGCTTCTGAAGTGTCCTGCCGGCGACCCCACTCCCCTCCTCCGAAGCGTACTCCTTTCTCCTCTAGGAGCTCCTGCACCCCCCCTCCCACCCCGAGACGCGCCCGTCTCTCCCCTTTCCCCTGTGTGCGCCCTCCTGCCCTGCCCACCCGACGCTCCCTTTCTCCCCTTTCCCCGGGCCGCCCTCTCTGCAGTGTCTTGTGGGCGTGCCCTCCGCCCGCCTCCCCTCGGGTGCCTCGTGCACTGTTCCCACCATTACTCCGGTGATATAAGCTCTCGTCTTAATTGCCAACGAGGAAGGAAGTGTTGCCACATCCTCGCTGCTCGTGCGCTCTCAGTTTCATTGTAATTAGTTTTGTGAGGATTGATCTGCGGAGTGCATGCGCGCGCGCACGAGAGCGAGGCCCCCAGCTGATCTGTCTGTGTTAAGTGTACGCCGTATGCAAAGCAGAAGCCTGGATGCGTGCAGGAAAACCGCAGATGGGAGCGGGGGCGATCGCGGAGGAGGAACCGGAGGCAAAGGAGGATTAAGGGGAGGAAGGGAGGGGGTGGAAAGTAGGGAGAAGAGGTGAGAAGAATAGGAAGGAAGATACGGAAGGAACCGGAAAATGATATGAGGAAGAGAGGTATGAAGAGAACCAAAGAAAACGAGGATTAGGAACTCATGCCTGGAGGAAAAGACACGAAGATGAAACTCCTGTGTTGTAATGTCAGCCGATCACTACGTCGGGTAACGCGCTTTATTGGCTTTCCTTTTCATTTCTACAATCATTATTATTTAGGCAACTGAGCACCTTGGTTGCATGCGAGGAATGACACCGAGAGAGGGAGGAGGAGGCATTTGTTGCGTGTATGCTGTGTGGGTGTAAGCGAGTATGGCTGTGCATATTGTTTGTTTTTTGTGTATATGTTTGTGCGTATGTGCATATATGGATGGATGGATAGATGAATGGATGCATGGATGGACGGATGATAGATGAATGAATGTATGCATAGGAAAATATATACAAACACACACGCACACATGTGTGTGTGTGTGTGTTTGTGCAGGTGTGGGTGTGTGAGTGTGAATGTAAGTATATGCGTGCTTATGCTTGCATGTGTTTATATATAGAAAGTGTGTGTGTGTCTGTGTGTGTGTGTGAGAGAGAGAGAGAGAGAGAGAGAGAGAGAGAGAGAGAGAGAGAGAGAGAGAGAGAGAGAGAGAGAGAGGAGAGGGCAGAGAGAGAAATAGGGGGGGGGGAAGAGAGAGAAAGTGTGTGTGTGTGTGTGTGTGTCTGTGTGTGTGTATGTGTGTGTGTGCGTGTGTGTGTGCGCGCGCGTGTGTGTGTGTGTGTGTGTGTGTGTGTGTGTGTGTGTGTGTGTGTGTGAATGTGTGTGTGTGTGTGTGTGTGTGTGTGTGTGTGTGTGTGTGTGTGCGTATGCGTGTGTGTGTGTGTGTGTGTTTGTGTGTATGTATGTGTATGTGTGTGTGCGTGCGTGTGTGTGTGTGTATGTGTGCGTGTGCGTATGCGTGTGTGTGTGTGTGTGTTTGTGTGTATGTATGTGTATGTGTGTGTGCGTGCGTGTGTGTGTGTTTGTGTGTGTGTGTGTGTGTGTGTGTGTGTGTGTGTGTGTGTGTGTGTGTGTGTGCGTGTGTGTGTGCGTGTGCGTGTGCGTGTGGGTTCACGTTTGTAACTGCGCTGTAATCGAATCAATTTACCGAGTCATCCTTCCATCTTCCTTTCGAGATGCAAGTATGGCGTTCCTCGTCCGCAGAGTTCTCTCGCCGCACCCCTCGGGCTAGAGGTTGTTTATAAGTAAAAGTCCTTCAGTAAAAGTCAAAATATCTCAATAATCTATTTATTAGGACACAAGCGATTCACAATAACTGGCCTTTGCAGTATGTACAAGGTTATATACACATACACATTTACACACATAAATAGTAAACAATTCTCTACTAAGATAAAATATTCACTCGGGATAAAACAATCTATTATGAAAAAAGACAACTTAGATATCTTATGTACACATCCTGATGGAGCCTCGAGCCTTGCGTCGAGAAGGCTCACTTTCCCTTTCTGAACACGGGGAAAGTCAATCTTATCGAGGGACAACTTAAGAATTAAATTAGTTTCTTCTTTTCTTATAGATCTAATTCTGACTCATCGCTTTAGAGGACGGATTCTAGAAAGGTAGAATACTTACATTTTTAATCATCAGATTGATTCGTTTTAATCAGACATAATACGGTCCGCATATCTAATTACCAATACTTCTCTTCATTCTACCTTCTCACTGAAGTGACTAAAGTGATTTCTGACTATGAAGGGAAAGCTAATTTTAGATATCCATAGTCCAGTGTGATGAAGAATCCTTAGAAACTACAAGTTCTTCACCTTTCTAGTTTCTTCAGCTCCTTTGCGCCGAAACGACCGGACTTCACGAAGACGAACGTTACTACCGTGAGTAGGACTAGGAGACCAACTCGTCAGCGCTGAACACTGCAAAGGATCAGGTTTGAACTATAATCAGCTTATCACTGGCAGGCTTGTGAGCTATCGTTCCGTTCACAAGCCCGCCTACCTTGCCATCCTTTAGCGCTCCTGATATGTGGGTGACGGAGGCGGGGACGCCGCGCGCAGGGCACCGCGGGCTCCGCCGCCGGGAATACTTGTCGAACAGAAACGCCCTGGAAGCAGCTTCTGCGAGGAGAGTGTGGCGGCCCTAACCGAACTGCAGCCGAGGCCCACCTCCGGCCCAGTGCGGACCGGGTCTGACCCAGGGCACGACTGTGGCCATGGGACCGGGAGGGACTCGTCTACAGCCAGCTGTGGCCTGGGTGTGGCTTAACCACTAACCAAACATGGCCCATACACGAACAAGACGTGCCTCAATCGCGGGCCATATGCGACCCAGCTATGGCCCGGCAGCAGACCAAGTGTGTTCCAGACCAGGATTCGGCGCGGCCGGCCAGAGGTCCGGCGCCGCGGCGGGCGAGGGAGAGCGCTTGAGGGGGAGTCTCAGAGCAACGATTTGTACCTTGCTGGCGGTATGTACAGAGGGCGGTGGAGGGCGGGCCGGGCGGGCGGGTCGCTCACGCCTTGGTGGTGAGGTCGACGGGGGCGGTGGTGGTGGGCACGGCCGTGAGCACGGGTGACACGGGCGGCGACACAGGCGTAGGCGTGCCTGGCGAGGGTGCTAAGAGGCGCGGGCGCTTGACGCTCAGGTCAATGGGCGCATCCTGCTCGGGGGCGGGGGTGGCCTCCCACGCCTGCGGGCTGAGGCTGGCCGCCCGCATCTCCTCCACGGGTGAGTCTGCCACGCGCTTCCTGGCGAAGGGGAAGCCGAGGTGCAGCGCCAAGGGCGGGGCGAGAGGGCTCCGGTAGTCGCTCATCGGGCGCACGGGGGGAGTCAGCGGGCGCGGAGGGCTGTGCGGGCGGGGGCTGTGGTGGCGCGGGCTGAGAGCGTGTGGGCTGCACATGCGGGGGCTGTTGGCCGAGGCCTCCTTGGGCGGGCTCGACGGTGGCTGTGATCTGGGCACGCCGGGCGGCACGAGCAGCGAGGGCGGGATGCCGGAGTACAGCATGGGCGGGTACAGGCGCGAGTAGAGGTGCGAGGCGTGCAGGAGCGACAGGCCGGGGTGCAGGCCGTACAGCGACAGGCCGGCGGCGCCCGCCAGGTCGCGGCGGCCGCCCTCGCCGAAGCGCTCCGGCCCCCGCCCGCCGCCCTCCCCCACGCTCATGTCCTTCGGGGACGACGTCCGCCGCGGCTCGACGTCGATGCTGGTCTCGGAGAGGCAGCTCTCGGGCGAGGACAGCGCGGGCGACTCCCCCTTGGCTTCGTCCTCGGACTTGGCGGGCGAGAGCGCCGGCATGGAGGCTGGGCTGAGGGACAGCGAGCCGGCCACGGCGCCGGGGAACGAGCCGCCGCCGCCGCCGTCCAGGCCGTTGTTGATCTGCGCTGCCTGCTCCTGCAGCAGGCAGTGGATCTTGAACCAGTTCGAGCGCCGGCCATACCTAGACGGGAGCAGACAAAACAATCATCATACAAATGCGGTTCCTACAGCTGCGAGGGGAAGCAGCCACACCTTAGAAGTACGAAAATGGTTCGTATAAGAAGAATTTTAAAAGTTCTTTCGGACAGTATCTTACTAAAATGGTAATAGTGTAATACACCCGCACACACATCTCTCATTCCGAGGCGACACTCACCTTGATCCACTCTTGGACATGCCGACCACAAGGCACTTGCGGAGTCTGCAGGCCTTGCACGACGTCCTGTTCTGCTTGTTGATGACGCACTGGCCGCCGTTCTTGCACTCGTGCACCTGCGACAGGTTGTTGTACGTCCGGCCGAAGAACGACTGCGCGGAAGAGAAATGGAATCTTAACATGTTGGCGGCTGATAAAGCTAGAAGGTAATGTGTCAGGTACATCGCATCAGCAACAATGATAAGCTTTAGCTGTATCGTGTTAACAATAAGACTTCCAGCGTTGATATCGTCTCTGATAGTTGTGATGCCTACAATGCAATAATAATGAATATGTGCTCTGCAATACTGGGGATGATAAAAATGGTAATGTTATCAAAACTCCCACTACGACTAATAATGATGATGTTCATGGCAATGAGGAGGATCATGACGGCTATAGTAACGGCAGCAGGAGGCGGTACGCACCTTGCATCCCTCGCAGGTGAAGGCGCCGAAGTGGAAGCCGGCAGCTGGCTCGCCGCACACTTTGCACAGCTGATTCATTCTGCAGAAGGAAGAGAAGAGATTCATTACTATTGGGTCGTGACGACTACTTCCTGCTGTCGCAAGTTGACTGTGAAATCTCTCGGTGAGATTGATGTCAATCGGGCTCGGCTGCGACGAGGAAGCTGTCGCGGTGACGTGTCGGTTATGTCTTCCGGCGACGTCTTCCGCCAGTCCCGCTCGCCGGCGAAGACTTCAGGAAGTTTATTAAATAATACAGAGTTTTATGTCGTGTGAGGCTTTGTGTCGGCGTTGATTTTTATGTCCCTGATAAAGTGGTTAGGGAATTTTCGCTATAATATAAATACTTCCAAGGCAACAATACTTTTATACACAATTACCTATAAAGCGCCTGTTGATCCATTGTGAAAGAATGCAACCACCGCTAAGGTTCATAAAGGCTTTGAAAGTGTGTTTTATAGTTTAAAGTGAGATCTTGAGAATAGTTGTTGCTGTGCTGATCATTCGAACGTGAATCAATCAATCATAAAACATACACGCTAGTAGAAATGAGGAGAAGCATATTGAGACTTGGGTTTGCAAAACAAGGACAATCCATCAGCAAGAGAAGGATATCAGCTGTTCGAAGAACTCGATCACGGACGCCATGTAGGTCCTGGTAATTTCACGACAAACTTGCCCAATACCCGAGGATGGTCCTCTACTGCGAACGGCAAACACACACAAGTGAACGGCGTACGTCTATCAGAGCCGGTCACACGCTGGGGCTTCCAAGCTGACAGCCGATAAAGTGTATGCGTGTTTCCCCTGCATCGGGCGGGGACCGCGGGCCGCCGGGGTGTCACCTGGCCCAAGATGTAGCAGGTCAAAATGCTGCAGATAAGATCGGCCGTAGCCGCGATACTTTCCGATAACCTCATATGGGAGCGGGCGCAGTGTTGCCATACTCTGAGGTCATTATGGCAGAAACCTCGGGAACTCGAACAACTTCATGTAAATGCATGAGAAATATTCTGGGGTCACACTTATACTATGGTGTTGTTGCATGCCCAATATCAGCAACACGTTTATTAGGTTCGCTTAATTAATCATTACTCCTCATTAGAAACGCAACTTGTGATCTGTATAGCCATTGGTCGACCCTGATTCACAGCAACTATTCATTGTCTTCGGTCTGATATACCACGGTCCAGAGTCTTCCTTTAAAAGCCTTCCCTCTTTTATCATTAAAAGAGATGAAAGTGTCGATTCAGTCATGAATTAAGTGTAATGAAAATCGCTGAAAAGAACACGCACTTTTTACTTCCATAGCGAGACAGCCAGCCACACTGCCTTCGAAGCTGCAGGCGACGGCAAGCGACACCGCCAGAGATCCTGTGCTTTACTTGAAATGCCTCGTGTATGGTACAAAATGTCTTCCGACTTGGCAACTCTGTTAGCGAAGGACATATAAGGGAGAGGTTTGGTTGCCGGCCAGGTATTACCAGAACGTGAGTGATTTTGTTCAGAGATGTGATCACAGGTTTTTGCAATGGTGATGTGCATTTTTTTTTTCTTTTTTTGAGGGGGGAACGATGAGAGGGGTCACGTTTATGCCGAAAGAAAAAAATAATTTATTGGATTATAAAGAAACAAGAGGGTATGGAGTTCGCTCGGCTTGATATAAGTTTGCATAATACAAAGGAACAAGAGAAGGAGATTCCAAGATGGACCAGAAAGTCTTTGTGACTACGAGGCCGGAGGAACGCGCCCTGGCGGAGCCCTTCGCTCGAGGGCGACGGAGGCGCTGACGAGGGCTCACCCTTGCTCAGTCGTTTCGTTTAATGCTAATCATAACCATGATTAGCATTGTTATACCATGATCATGATCATTATTGTGATTGTTGTTGTTCTCTCTGTTGTTGTCATCGGTATCACCATTATTATTATTAATATTAATTATTATTATTATTATTTTTTTTTTATTATCATTATTATTATTATCATCATTATCATTATTATTATCATTTTCATTAATATCATTATCACTATTGTTGTTGTTACTGTCGTACCTTATACTTTTCGTTTATATCATAAACTTGATCATTACCGTTACCTCTCTCAGCCGTCAACAACATGATCACATACAGCATTTCCTCACAATAAAAGGAAAAGGACACCAGAGCAAGAACGCAGCAGAGGAAAGGCAACAATATGATCTAGCACATTCTAGCTAAACTGCCGCGCCAAACCGTCCCTTGCAGCCCCCGCCCACACTCCGCCCGCGCTTCCACCTACTCCATTACCTCACCATTCCCACCGCACAAAAAAGGCCCAGGACGCCCATCTGACGACCATCAACACCCGAAAAAGTGAAACAAAAAAAGACGAGAAATTACATCACGGTTGATCATTTTCTTGCCCCCGCGGTCCCTCGCAGCGTTCCCAGCTTCGTCGATCTCCTTCGAAATGCTGTTTACCGTTTGCTCTTTCCGTTAGTGTACGCTTTTAAATCATTGCGTCGTTTTATATACACGTGAATGTGCGTGCCAGAAAAAATGGAATGTTTTATTCATAACAGCGAAGTGCATGTATATGCATGTGAAGGGTTAACTTAGTTGCAAGTTGGCAACACTACAGGGTGCGCCGGGCAGCTGAGCAACACTCGACTTCATCGCGTCTTTGATATTTTGTTAAGCCTTCGCTGTGTTTTCGATCGGAACTCGGACGGCAGTCGGTCATTATAAGCCGTGAGCATTTTCCTTATAAAATAAAACGCCGGAATACACCGTTAAGCGTTATGTCGGTGGTTTGGAAAAGAGAAAGTAATGTATGTACGCTAAAGGATATAAGAATATGGACGTATGGAGAATTACCAAATTAAATGACAGCGTAATGGCAAGAGTACCCACCATGGCTTTGGGGTCGGTCCTGTGGATGGTACAGCTCGAGCTACCAATTATTGTACCACCAGGGGGGTACCAAGTCACCGGGAGCACCCCCGTTATGCCGCCCCTGGATACACAGCATAATTACCGAGAGTGTAGGCGTGATTTGTACCGTCTTGCTGTGTCTGTGTGGCCTTCTTGTCTGCCTTGTAAGGACGGCGGCGGCGAAGACGCTTGAGAACAGTCCTTGGGGGATGTCAGCGCGAGGGAGACGTCCCCGGCGTGATGTCGGCTTGAAGATGGCCTATATCTTTATGCTAATTGGCCCCAAATTTTCCCTCCCAGCAATGTGTGGCTTTTGACATCTCTCGGAACAAGCGCGTCAGGAAAGATCATAACAGTCTACCGTTCTCCACTACCGTTTCTCATTAAAATATCGGGGAAGTGGATTGTACGTCATTTCTTATGTAGTCTGTCGATAATTTTTACTTGTCTCTGGTAATGGTTACGCTAAATATGGAATGGGGACAGAATGAAAATGCCATTAGCTTAATGTTCAGACAAATAATGTACTAATTTCTAATGTATACTAATAACCAGGTCTTCTTTTGTGGAAAGAAAAGGGAAAGTAAACTTAATGGCAACAACAGAAAACGTGCTAAATATACAAAAAGAGTAATATTGTAGTGTAATTATACGTTATACCAAAGTTATGATCAACCGAGGCAGTAAAAGCAACCCGGTAATGAAAGAAACAAACACCAAAATCACTGACGCTGAACAGGTGCTGGGATGTGACATTTGCATACGGAGGCACATCACGCAAACATTAGTGCGAGAAACCCTGTGAATCTTTAGCATTGTTTACTCACTTCGCTTTTGCGTCGTTTGTTAGCATGAGTGCGCTCTCTTTTTTATAGTCTCTCGGATTGCATTGTTAATAAAGTTAAGTTGCGCTTTACTCTATCTTTATGTACATCTGCTAAAGAAACGTTTGTCCAAGTACTGTAATCACGTGCTGGGAACGCTTCGAGATTCGTACTCCGGAGAAACGTTTACGAGGGCCTCGCGGCGCGGAGGAGGGGAAGGAAGATTTTGCCCACGAGGACGCAGGGACCTCCTCGCCGGCCGGGACAAGAGCCTCGGTTTTATTTCGTAATTACGCCTCGGGGTCTGACTTCGGCGAGTTCAAAGGTGGTCTGGCGAGAGGGTGAGCATCTGGCTGGTAACAATGTGACGCCACTCGACTCCGCCCTCCCGTCAATACGTGATCACTCAAAGACAAATTCCGTTTCTATTACTTTTCACTTGCCTTTTCTTCTACTTGATTTACATATCAATAACCTTCTTATCTACAAGTACATCTCCATGCTTTTCACCCGCTTAACTCGCCCGCGATCGATCTCTCTCCCACGATTCCCCCTCCCTGGATCTCGCCGTCCCGGCTGCTTGTCTCGGAGAAAAAGAAAGAAAAACAAATCACTTGAACCCGGGAAGAAAAAAAAAGACGAGCTACCTGCCCTCAAATCTAATTTCCACCGAAAAAATGAGAATCCCGCTTGTTCTGATCCATATCTGTATAACCGCCACACGAACATCCAGCACAGTTTGTAAACAAGATCCGCCACTCCGATATACTTCATCCCGCCATAAGCTACAATTAAGGTACGGACCACCGCGTCCCGTGGTTGGGAATGGGGGGGGGGGTGGCCGTTAATTTATCGCCGTACGAGAAGGAACACGTATTAATAATAGGGTCGATAATCGGCCTCGGTGGATATAGACAGAGTCGTGAAGAAATGGTATCAAGAGAGAGGGTCCCAGGCGCCCGCAGCCCGCCGTGTTGGCACGAACCCCGGATGGAAGGCCCCTGGAGAGACCCCGAGGGACCCTCTCTGTCTTCTGGGCTCTCTCTCTCTCTCTCTCTCTCTCTCTCTCTCTCTCTCTCTCTCTCTCTCTCTCTCTCTCTCTCTCTCTCTCTCTCTCTCTCTCTCTCTCCCTCTCAATTTCTCTCTCTCACTCTCTCAATCTCTCTCTCTCTCACTCTCTCTCTGTCTCTCCGAGATCAGTCACCCATTTATTGGTCTTCCATGCACTTATCACTCCACACAGAAGTATGGAAAGATGAAGAGAAGAAGAATCGTTGGGAAAATAGTCCGAATAAGAAGCCAAG